GCATATATTAGCGAATGAGCGAGCGAATGCGCACATAAAATGCGGGTTTCAATTGAAGGGGTGAAAGGACCTTCCAACGCTTTTAACCTTACTGTGCTCATAGGTGTTTACACTGTCAATATTCAACCAAGCTGGCTGGTAGCTTCTATGGTATGTGAGTTGTGGAGTGCGTCGTCAAGGTAAATTTTAAATAGCCGCTAATCGAACGCTCGTTCTTGCTTAACCCGCTTACCACGCAGCCCTTGCACACTTAACTGTCATTTAACGCAGAACCCGCTCTTTAGCAGCACATAAAATTGCCATGTAACTCTAGCACTGTCAGGCTTTCGCATTGCTCGCTCTCAGCAGCCATCTCCGCCTGCCAACCACCCAATGTTAATTGAATTTTCGAGCAGATAATAGCACATCGATAAGGTCGCCGTCATCATAGTCGCTGTTGCTGTTGTCGGCAATTGTGTGCACGTAAACAGCGTACTTGCGGCAATGTGGTAAATTGTATACTTAATGTAATATAGTTGCATAGTTTTAGGCGTCGACTCGCCGCAATTAAATGAAACAGAGCCGCCATAAAACGGCGTGCAGTTGTAGGTTTCTACGAAGCCCGTTAAATAAATTTGTTGACTTTGAGGTGGTGTAAATGTGCGAAAATCCGTTTTTGTGTAATTTAAATTAATTGTAATTTCGTACATGTCTGAGGAGTCGTCGATAGTTGAAATGGGTTAGTGGAGGTTTAAAATATCTAAAAGTGCCTCAAAGATGTGGAAAGTGTTATGAGACGTTTCTTTTAAGGCTAAGACTGTTACCTCTATGCAGAGTATTTAACAATGATTTATTTGAAATATACCAATTGTTCCTATCTTTAATTCTTGAAAAAATACATACTCAATGGTTTTACTGCAAAAATTTCGAACCGAGTCGAATTGTATAATTTTTTTTATATGAATGTTTTATGACAGCATACTTAAAATTTCTTTGTATACTTTAAGGCGTAACTAAATTTTTCTTTCAAGAATGTACTTCTGCAGATTTTCCTGCTTTAATTTGTTTTTCTTTAAAGGTATTATGACCATTTTACCATATATATTGAATATCTTAAGAATTTATGACTATTTTAACTTCGAGATTGTATATTATAAAGCATACATTTAGGCTCAGGTATCGTGTTTTGATCAAATTTTTCTTTCAAGAAGCTGCTTTTGCTAATTTCCCTGCTTAAATATTTTCTCTATAAAGAATTTGTGGACATTTAAGCATTTAGATTGTATATTTCAAGGCATACATACAATGCTCCGGTAAAGTTTCGAGTTTGTTCCTGTCTAATTACAAAAAAAAATATGAAATTTAGTTCTTTTTTTATCTTTTAGTTCTTTTCTGTCATTAATTTCATAATTGTTGCCTACATTTAGGAGCACTTTTTCAGCACGCTTTTCTGATAATTCATGACTTGCCAGTGTATGCGCGAAAACGTTTGTAAAACGAATAAATACTTATGATTACATTGGTACTCTCTGTAACCTATAAATAAAAAGGAAACTTGAAAACATTTTAATGTTTTGCATAGCTATTAATACTTGCTGCAATTTAAAATCATTGCCAATAACCCTTAAAAAATTATAGCTAACTTTTAGGCGTATATGTTGCCCTTTTTTAACTGTTGTATGAAGTTAAAAATTCTAACTAAGGTAGTTCTTAATTTTTTTCTAAATTATGTTTTTTTTTTTTTTAATTAAATACATTTTTCTTGCATACATCTAGGAGTTGGTGATCGACTTTCCGTCCACTGGTCGAAAGTGAGAATAATGTTGCTTCTAAATCTCTATTTGCAATTTTTATTGGTTTTAAATTTAATAAATTAAATAATTTTAAAATATTTCTGCTATAAAAATTTATTGCATAATGGTAGGCGCATACATATTTGTTTTTGAATTTTTCAAACAATTTTTTTAAGACTTGTGTTTCGACTTTCAAAGGCAGGCTGGCTAGAAAATTGTAACACATATTGATTATAAATTTAATAGAAACTTTATAAAATATTTTTTGCTATAAAAAACTACTGCGTAGTGGTAGGCGCATACATATTTTTGTTATTTGCGAGTTTTGTTTTTAAAATTTTGTAATAATTAAAAAAAAAAAATATTTCTCTTAAGAGTGAAAATGTATTGAAAGTTTATAATTGGAGTTATGCTTTTATTTTTTAAAATTTATTTTACTTTTAATGGCATACATTTAGGAGCTCTAGTTTCGAATTTTAAATGATGGCTAGAAAATTTGAATAATTTTCTGGTTTAACCTTTATTTACAAGAGAGTGGAACAAAGGAAGGAAATATGTCTTCCTTTTAAAAATGTTGCATACTTTTAGGCGTTTATATTATTATTAGTATTTTTCTTACAATTATTAGAAGCATTAATATTATTATTTTATTATATAATACTTATAAGTTTTGTCCCTAATACTTTCTAATATATTTTTTCTTATGTATTTTCAGATCTGCGGTTTCAGCGCTTCTTCAGTTCTTAAAGGTAGGTGCGTAAATTTTCTAAAAAAAATTTCACGTGAGAAGCTTAGTTATCTCTCTCTGTTATATATTTGACACTTTTAAGAAAGGTCTGCACCCTTGTAGCGGCCTTAACGGCCATATGAGGCGTTGTTATTTATTTAGGTCGCACCCTTTTCGCATGTGTAATGCGCCTAAAATTAACATTTAATACATTGCTGCCGAAATTCAAGCCATAAAAACATAAAACAACAAATTCAACTGCAAATAAACACCAACAATCGGCCATATGCGCTTACAAAACATATATAAACAGCCCCACCGCTATTAAGTGGCGGCCCGTTTTCTTTACTTCCAAAACAGCTGCTTTTGTTGTGGTTACACAAATAACGAATTTCTAATTATTGTTACTATGTCGTAGTTGTTGTTGTTGTTTTTGGAGGGTATACTTTTCATGCCACTGTTTGTTTTTTGCTTTCCCCTCCGTCGTACTCAAATGCTTTTCGCAATTTTAACGGCCTTTCGCTGTGTGTCTGTCTGCGTGGTTGTTGTTTGTGTTTAGTGTTGTGTACTTTTCGGCGTAAATGCAAATGTGAGTGGGAAATGCGAAATTAAAGTGCGACCAAACCGAAATTCGAGTGCGCGCATCAATGCACGCGCCGACGAAACGCCACCGCGCTACATAAAAGGTTTTCGGCATCGCAGATGACTGGCGCAAATTATGCAAATAAGTGTGTCAGGATAAATATGTACATTCAATAAGGCTGTGTGTGCGCGCGCGTGGGTGTGTCAATTTTGTAGAAGTCCCGAAAAACACCAACGACTGAAAGTGTCACGTAGCGTACACGCGGAAATTGGGACGCCTATAATTTGTATATGAACGTAAGCGATACTGTGTGTTTTGTATGCTTTGCATGTAGCAGCCTTTTAGGTGTAGAAAATTAATTGAGCTGCACTTTGGGTTATGGAAATGTTGTGGTGCAGATGTGACAAGAGACTGGTTTGAAAAAGACATGTCTATTTAAAATTCCTAACGTTGCATACTTTTCGGCTGCATATGAGATTCTGAAAGTGTGTGTAGCATCTTTCTGTCAAATTTATGAAAGATTTAATAATATTTAATAACAAAATCTAAAATTTTTTTGCTTAAATATATAGTTTTTCTAATTACATACTTTTAGGGTCGTTAGTTATGTTAGAAAAAATAGAAATTGAGTAGTGACTAAGCCTTTTTTGCATATTTTTAGGAGTGAGTTTTCTTCCGATCTAACAAATTTTTGCTTTTATATGTACATTCTTTTTATAATTGCATACTATTAGAGTCGTTAGTTATGCTCAGAGAATAGAAAGTGTTTAGTTACTCAGTTTTGTTTACATATTTTTAGGATTTAGTATTCCTATAAACTTTCTGCATACCACAATATAAATTTTTACAACGTTTTAAAAATGTTGCATACTTTTGTGCGCACATATATCAAATATTGCGTAAAATCATTCTTTAAATAGGTTAGCAAAACTTAAATTTATGATTATTGGTCTGACAACTGCTTTCATAGTCAAAAACTATACGAGATTACATTTAATTACTTGCATTACATTTTAATTACTTATAAAAATAATATATCTCTGGTCTTGCATTAGCTAATTACTTTCATTTTTTTAATTTAAACCACTCTTTTCAGACGGCTTTCATATATACCTTACTTCTAATTACTTAGAAGTAATTTTAAAGTATTTCTAAGAATAAACACACTTTTAGGCAGTAAAGTTAGTAAGTTTTTAGGCTATTTGTATACGTTATGCATTACTTTAAATTACTTGAAATAATTTATACATTACTTTTAAGTTCTTGAGATAGAAAATAATTAATTTTTGTCGGCCTTAATTATTTGAGATCCACTTGTATTACACATTACTTTTAATTACTTGAATTAGATAATACATTACTTTAAAATACTTGCCATTATATTATAACTAATGCTTGTATACTTTAAATATTTAAGGTCCACTTATCTAATGTTGACGTTATTTTTAATGACTTGGGGTAATCGTTCTGTATTTGAAAGTAATCTATTGGCTGGCTGGAAATAATATAATTCCTAACCTCGAGCACTTGAATGAAACACATTTTTCTAGTTAGTAGCATATTTTAAGGCATGCTCATTCACTGCTGCTATTAATTTTAATTACTTTTCATTACTTAGTTCTACTTTTTAAATCCTTTAATGCCTATAAATCATTTTATTAGCTTGACTTTTTAATTTGCCATTGAAAGATTAAACAAAAGAACAAAACAAACTATTTGTGAAAATTTTATAAAAAATTATTTTCCTTGTTTAAGCTTTTTTGCGCTCTGTATTGTTATCCCTAAATGAATGCTTCAAAGATTTTTTAGTTGCTAATTTTCATAAATTATTTTAATAATAATAATTTTCGTATAAAAAATATTTTTTAATTCGCTGTTATTCTCTCATTAATCCGCTGACAAATATTAATTTACTTACCAAAAATATCGCCACCCACGCCATGCCAATATTATCAAATGATATTGTCCCCTGAAATGGATTTTGACCAACCCGACGACAATCCGTATAATATTGATTCCAATTGACGCAAGAGGTATTTGTCGGTAGATTGTCACTAAATTTGGATGCAGGTTCTGAAAAATTTATATGAATGTTTTTGTAAAAAAAAAATTATACGCAGAATTCAGGAGTAAAATACGTTAAATTATATGTATGTATTTATACTTCATGTAAATGGAAATGTCTAAAACTTAGGAGCAAAAATTGATGGTATTTTCAAAGCTATACAGATTTGTAGATACAAGTTTTGCTTACAAATCTTTACTCATTTTTAACTAAAGTGTAATCCATATCGAGGTGTCCTACTTTTTAAAGAAAAAAAAAAGACACTTCAAATTTAATGGGAAAGGTTTATTATCATTCGAAAGAATATTCGTCGTATTTATATTTTGAAAATAGGTTTCAAATGTTGGTCGCAGCTGCGTCTCAGATGGTCCATCCATGGAGTCCAATTTTTCGATGACTCGTTCGGGCATTTCGACATGCGTAAAGTAGAGTTTACATATCCACACAGGAAAGAGTTTAAGTGTGTGATATCACACGATCTTGATGGCCAATCGACCAATCGAATACGTGAAATCATCTGCTCACCAAAGTGTTCTCTCAATGAACTCATTGAATGATGCGATGTGGGATAGCGTAATTCAAGAAGTGATTGAACTTATGTTAGAACTGTACCTGTAGGGCCAGAAATTCACGAATTCATTTTCATATCGATTTTGGGTGATGCTTTGGGATTTATTGTGTGAGTTTTTTTTAGGCTTGACGCTCAGCAGCAGAGTTTCTTTCACTTTTCCTGAAATGTAGCTGTTGTATAGTTGTAGTGGGCGAAAGTATCATCCACATAGGTTTGGATAGCTTTGCCGAGTTTACTTGTGTGATCATATTTTAGTTCAGTTTCTGGATCATCAGGGTCTCATTTTTCTTATTATTGGGTCTTTTTTACCTTATTTTTTGTGTCTACCCCAGAAAAGAAGAAGAATAGGGTCTTCTTGAAGATTTGGCGTGTAGAGTGCAGACTTTGTTTTCCTAAAGCACTGATGCAGCCTGTCAACCGTTACATTTTCTCGCAAGCCTACTAAAATTTTTTACATTGCAAAACTTAAAAACATTTCGGTTTTGGTGAATTATAATTCCAGTTATACACATTTTTGCTTAAAAAAGTCTCTTAAAAAATAGCAAATTTTTTCTACAAAAATTACTTTCAAAAATGTATCGCTAATTAGCTCTAATTGACGACTACTTGACGATTTCCTAGTGCAATTTGCCGCAAACTTGCGCACTGGTGTGTAAAATTACCGTTAGTAACTCCGAAATTCATGCACATGTTCAGAAAAATAGAAAAAAATATATTTTTGTTGTGGTGCCTAAAATTATGCCACGCTGAAGGTTGCGGAAATGTTCCAAGTCAAGCGTTAATAATGAAATGCGCACGAATGCGTGGCGTGCTGCCAAGCTTGCGCTTACTTTTTTGGCATAGCAGAAATTCGCTTTTATGCTGACTTTTGTTATTGTATTTGCATTTTTCATTTCAAAAATATTTTTTTTTTTCATTATTATTATTATTTTTTGCTTGCCAGCTTTTAATTCCTGCTAATTTTGCTTTTAATTATTTATTTTTCCGCCACCAATTTACAATTTTCATCTCCTGCATGCTTCTGTGCTTGTGGTTGTTGTATTTTTAATTAAAAAATGTACCTGTAAGCCCCCCGCCTCATCTTCATAATCATAATGAAAAATTTGCGCGCACACAGCAACCAACAATAATAAGAGCGTGCGAAGGGCGCGCGCCCCACCAATCATGCTCATTAACATAAGCAACAATTACAACAACAATATGCCATGGCAACAACACCAATTGGCAGCATGAAAAATCACTCAAGCAGCAATTAAAGTTTGTTGCATTGTCCATTTCCGTCCGACCGTTCGACCGTACGCGGCGCTAATTCTGTGGCGGGCGCGCGCCGCAACTTGACTTTTTAATGAGCAGCAGCAACAAAAACAACAGCAATTGTGTGTATATCCGGGCTACGGTCAGTTGTCTAGCGTTTACAAGCTACCAAGTTTCTTTCGCACTTTTTACCGTTGTACCTCCGCACTACCAAAGGCGCGCCGCAGTCGCTCACTTTAGCGCACTTTAAATTGAGTTGCCGGCAAATTGGTTTACTTCATTCACTTCCGCGCGCACACATTTTCTAACAACGATTTTTAATGAATTTTTTCCTACACTTAATTGCATAATCAAACAGCTATAACAATAAGCCGTTGCTTGTTGTTGCTATTGTTGTGTATATTGGTGTATATTGCTTACTTACCCGTGCAAATCATGTCGCCGACACGATAGGGTGGCAAATTGGCGCATAAATGCATGCCAGAGTCCTCGGGCTTCGAGCAAATGTAGTCCTGCTCCTTGGAGAATTCGTAGTAGTGAGAGACACTAGAGTATTTTTTTGTTGTTGTGGTGGTTTGTTTATGGGTTTTTTTCCATAGTTATTTTTGAAGTTTTGTAGTTGTTGTAAAGAGTAGAGTTGTTTTTGTAGAATTTTGCGCAATAGTGAACAAAATATTTGTTTTTACGATAATTTGAACGTTGTGTTTAAATTTAAAGTTGTTTGTGTGGAAAATTAGTATGAATTTGAAAATATTTTTGTTAAAACAATTTTGTTAATTGAAAACATATTTCGTTTTTTAAAAAATATATTCCGTTAAAAAAATAAAATGCGTAATTTCAGTGTACGGCAATTCAATTGCATACATTTTTTTATACAGTTTATGCAGTGTGTGTTATCGAGAACAGAATAAGAGAAGAGAAAAATACATACAAAAAAGAGACATTTAGTAAATCACAATATTTATAATTTGTTTTTATATTCAAGACATTTCATAACATTTATTCAGACACGTAGAAATTTGAATGAATGAGTGGTAAATGTAAAGTTGATTACTGAGTATTGAGTGTAAGAGAAATTTAGTAGCAAAAAATTTATGAAGTTAGTTCGAAAAATGACAGCTTAAAGACTTGAGTAGAGAGCTGAAATCTTAAAGAGTATGCAAAATTAGAAATATAAAATTAAAAAAAAAAAATTAAATACAAAAAT